CTGTCAAAGTCAGCTCCGTTTTACATGATCTTCTTTCTGTTTCCGATTTTTTTTCCCCATTTTTCAATTTTTTTCTTCATTTTTCTTTTTTTTTGCATTTGATATTTACAAAAATAGATTATGCACAATTTGCTGCTCACACAGTTTCAGAATCCATTTATGTGACAGCAGCAGAGTTCACATGAGAATAAATTATTCAAAGAGAAACTTTTTAAGGCTCCATTCATTCTTTGAAAGGGGGACACATCATGGAAAAGTCACTGAAATAAATATCCCAACTCCGCTGGGGCCCTTGTCATGTCACGTCTGTCTGTCAGTTCGCTTTTTTTCTTTCTCTCTTTCTCTTTTTAATTATTATTATCATTATTATTTTTAATCTACTGTATAGTTCGTGTGTCCTACATTTAAAGTCTCGTTCTGCTCCTGTCGCAGCTGTTTCAACTTGGGTATACCGACATTCCAAGTGGATGGATCGAGTGGCTGTCCAAAAGCCATGTCCCTAATTGATAAAGGATTTTGGAGTACCAGTGCACTCCTTCATTTTGTACACTGCTTGGAGGCTGGGAGCTAAATAGGAACGAGGACACCCAGTGGGCGAGCCTGACGGGTGCCAGGGCCCAGTGTGCCAAGTCGTGGTCTTCGATCACTGCGTAACAGGACGCAAGGACCTGGTCCACCACGATGGTCCCCTGTGAGGTCACGGGCGCAAAGGAACCCTCGTGACTTTGCGTGTAAATCCGTTTGACGGTCACAGACTCGAGTCGACTTCGCTCTGCGTCAAAGACGAACACTTTCTGTCCAGGCTGGACTTGACTGGCGAAAATCGCAGACATCCGCTTCTCCGCCTCGCTGGAGCTGTTGCGGCTGACGAAGACGAGATGCGCGGCGGTGAGGGTTATTTTCTGGCCCGAGTCGGTTTCGATCACATAGAAGATCCTCCTCAGCATCGAATCTCGGTCTATAAACATGATGAAGTCGGTGTAAATTACATTTCCGTCGTCATCTGCTGTCATGACCCTGTCGCCGCTTTTGAGATCTTTGACTGCTTTCTTGGTGCCATCCTGAAGGGTGACCGTGGAGGATCCGGGGAAGCAGCCGCCTGACTTTGCTGCCACTGAATTTTCTGTTAGAAGAAACAAGAAAAACATTAAGTCGTTTTTCTCACTGCGAGATTTTTATTAGTAATTTTTAACGCGTGCAAACAAACATCGCATGCGCTTTGAACATTTCCAGCCCAGAACTCATTCAAAGGCCCATTCATAATAATTCAAATTGACTGAAAAATCCACCTTTATCTGTATTTTTTCTGCCTCTACACAACACGGTGGGCCATATGCATTTTGCATAATGATGTCGGCTCCTTGATGCCAGATGCGTATTAGCTTAGCCCACGTTGTCTGAGACGGGAAAACTGAAAGCCCTGGCTCATCTATTCTTAATTAAAAACCCCAATGAAGAGCAGGCATTGTTATTCTAAATCAACTTGTGGATCGAGCTACTCTCCGTAAAGAACACTTACGCCTTTCCCAGCTACTCTTCCCATATTTACTCAGGTGCAGAAACCTCTATGTGACAATTCACACAAATAGGCGACTCACAACTACTATTTACCCAGTGGAGCCACTTTTCCAAGCCTCTCGAGTTGTAGATTTGAATTTAAATGAGGGCCCGGACTCTTAAATGCTTTCTGTTGTGCAACATCAATGTCCCCCCTCTCCCTGTCTACCACCTCTCCCTGCTTTGTTGTCAGTCTTGATGACAATAATTTTGGCCTTGGTGGAACTCTTCACATACCAGTCTCTAGGATCACACTGTCCTGCACAGAGGGAGAAAAAAGGGTTTCCTACTCAGAATTTGGGGCTTTTAATCTTCTTTTAAGATTCCCGAGCATGAAATAAGGTGACAACTGAAAACCAGATTTACCCCAAACCAATTCAACATTGTTCAGCCAAATCCTTTTGGTAAAGTCGCATGACCTCCAATGACACGTCGGCCTAGCTCATACTGTGATCTCAAAACGTGTGTGCTGAATGATAAGTAAGGGATTTATCAATTTAAAAAAAAAAGCACCATGGTTCATCAGTCAAAGTGGAGAAATATTTTCTGGGCGTCATAGGTGTCCAGTAGTGACGGCCTAGGTAGATTATGAGCCTCGATAAACCCCAAAAAACCAAACAAACAAACGGAAATGAAAATTCTTATGATTTTCTCACATATAATTAAAAACGATTACCAAATTCACCTTGCAGCACTTATTTTTATCAGAGAGCGAGAAAAATGTGCTATTTCTAGGTCACGCCGAGCACCCTCGTTAGACTATGGTAGCGGTTCCCACCAGGAGACAGTGTGGGGCGGTGTAAGATCAAGAAATAAGCTGCGACGAGAAACGCTTATAACGCCTATAACCGGGAAATGCCTATACATCACTCAGAGAAATGACTATTTACAGTTTCATAAAAACTATCCAGTTAAAACAAATGAAAAGATCTGAAACATCTGACCTCTGCACTTAAATGACCCCTCAAACACTAGGATTCTGTGATTAATCACTGAAATCATTGAATTGATCAGTGGTCACACTTGTCTACAATAACCATCAGATCAGTAAGCCCATGATAAGTATTATTGTGACTCTATTTTACTTTCCCATCACAATCATCTGATACAATCTAGTCTTGGGTGAAACTTTTCCAGAAGATAAAACAGGACTGCTGCTTCCCTGAGCTGCACCTGTTGTTACAAACGATTACAATCACGCCTGATGGGAAATGCGCGCCGTTGTCCTACAGCCAGTGGTGCGCATGGCAGATTATCAGCGCAGTTCTGTTTTTCTTTTTACTTTGGAACCATACCTGCTTTCACGGAGCAGTGGATGTGGGCCTTAGATTCATAGTAGACCCAGTCAAATCCAGCTTCCACCGCCAGCCTGGACAGAGTGCCGTATTTGCTCTTGTCTCTGTCTGAAGTGGTGATGTCCACGGCTCTGCCCTCGTAGTGAAGAGAGTCTTCTAAATGGTGTCCGTCCTCGTCCCAGCCCTCGGTGACCCGCAGCTTCACTCCGGGCCACTGGTTCATCACGGAGATGGCTAGCGAGTTCAGTTTGTCTTTACATCTCTGTGGGAACAAGAAATGAATCCATGCATCACCGGAACTGCCCGAAACAGCACCACAGTGCGCAGATATCAGCTTTTATGAAGTGAAAATCACTCAAATCACGCGTTGCACTGACACAGCTTAGCTGACCAGAGAAATAGGGGCTGATAAGCGGTCAGAGAAATAAAATATTAGATCACCTAATCAGCCTTCCGACAGATTTATTACATTTCAGCAATTACCCTTTGTGCCAGAAGAACTGTGTGCTTTATCATCATTTCCACCTCAGATTCCGGTTCATTTTCTGCGAAGAACATATAAAGCATCACACTGTAGCCCCCACACTCATGTGGTCATAGAAGTGGGGTCGTGCTGGTGTCACTTCACTCTCTCCTCGTCCTGCATGACCTGCTGTTGCTGTGCGCGCTTGTTTTTTCTTTCTTTCTGTCTGTCTGCTCTTGCTATTTCCGCACAAAGTTCCAACTTTGTTAAACCTGCACCTGTCTGCTCCCTCATCCCCGCACATTATACCCTTTGTCCCAACTACAAATCGCAGAGGAGCACAACTAATAAGCAGCTTTGCTAGGGAGGCTCCTTATCGATCAATATCTATGATTTTAGTCGAGAAAGAGAGGATTTGGAACACGATGAGATTTTAGTACATGAGGACTTTTGCCTTTATTGGGAGGACAGTGCAGACAGGAGGGTGAAGAGAAGCTCATCAGCAGACAGCAAGCTGGAGAAAAAGTGAAACTAAATGGCCTTCTCGTCCAAGGAATGAAGCATCCCACGTGGCAATGTGGCAACGTGGTCCAGCCAGGACCAACACACTTGGCCCTGGCTGGACTTTTCATTACCGATCAGGAGACATTCCCCGATCTATTCTAGATCCAGTAGCAACAAAAAGAAGGGGTGAAATGTTTGTGGGCAAGAAACACATGTGCACACACAGCAAAAGTGCCCCCCATGTGTTGTGTAGAAGCTGATGCAAACAGGCTGTTTGTTTAACGAGGTTGAGTTACATAGGCTCATGTGATTCACAACTTTTTTATATTTAGATATTTATTATATTTTCTCACAAAAACGAGCAGCGCTTTAGTTCATAAACACGCTCTGACGGAGGCAAATTCCACATATTGACCATATGTGTGGATTTTATTGCTTAGAACTGAGAAAAGTAAACAGCTGTTAAACCAGATCCGCCAATGTTGCCCGAGTAACAAAAGCATGAACACCACACAAGGGTTAATATCAATTAAAGATTAAAACTGGACCAACTGAGGCCTCTCGCACAACTCCATCCCCCCACCCACCTGACTCCCCTGTTTCCTCCCAGCTGAGGTGAAACACTGGAGCTGAACTGCGTCTCTGATCCTGAGCTTGCATTTCTCAGTGTTAGCAGCAGCGTCAGAGGGCACATCTCGGGTAAGAAAGCTGCTGATGAAATATTGATAAGGCACTGCATTCGCTTCACTGGCCTATAACATATGGGTCTTTGGTCTTGGAGAGGTGCGAGCAGTGACCCTTTTCTATCCAGAAGTGTTGCATTAAAGACAACATTAATACAGTATGAATTCACGAGTCTGCATTGGGCGATGAATGAGGGAGTCGTTTGTCAGTTGCTTGTTTTCTTTAAATTAATAATTGATGTCCAGATGATATGAAGATGATCTTCAAGAGCAGCTGCCTCCTTAAAATATCTGGAGTTGGTTGAACCCTAAGCTCTCCGCGCTCTAAATGAAGATGCCTGGCCTTCTCCAAGACAACTATTCTGGACGCCGAACCAATATGTCAAATAAAACATCACAAAGAGTCTTTTCAGTCCAGCGGCGGAGGGAAACTTTCATTACTCTTCTCCTGCAAAGTCTTGGAAACGTGACATGCCTTCTTAAGTCGAGGTGTTTTGGCTGCTGACTAACAGACTTGTGAAATATCCCAGGATTGCACTGGGGGCAAAGAAGAGCCCACTGCCCTCCCACCCCCACGCCACGGTTGGGACAGTCTGAGGTCTTCAATCGGGGGCTGTTCACACAAATCTACCCGCTCGCATAACAGAAAACAAAGTCATATATATCAGTCGCTGTTTTATGAGCATATCACACTTGTAGAATGTGTTGAATTAAAAAAAAACCCTCCTTAAAAAACCCTTCTGCATACTGAGAGAGACTGTCGGAGTCAAGAGCCGTAAAGCTTAACCTATTTATTAATTCATTAGGTCGTGTGCCGCAAATCAAGCCAAATTCTGCTCAACCACCATGAAGCCCAGCAGGGCGCCTTGGACCGGCGCTTTGTGCTCGGGGTAAAGTTGTTCAACAGCCTGCCTCTTAATCTTTTCACAAATGATTTGGTTAGAGGAAACACTTATCAGCTACCTGTCAGTGCAAACAAGCCGCCAGCTCATCTCGTTTCCAACTCGTTTGCACTGCAGGCTCTTAACACGGTTACGCTAGATGAAAAGTCTGGCACTGGGTCTAATGTAAAAAAAAAAAAGTAACCCCTGACATTGTGGCTTACAGTTTTACTTGTTTAAAGAGGGCAAATCAAAGTTGTTGTTGTTTAATTTTAAGTCATTTTATTGCCTTAAAAATCCCTTTGGAGTCTTATTTTGTCCCACTTTTCTGCGTAGAATGTCACTTAACACAAGTTGAATTCACGAGGGTCAGCGACAGGTGAGCATAAGTCTAAAAGCCGTGGAATAGCGGGTGATGGTCCTAATCAAATCAGGACCCGTCACTTCGTGTATCTATTCGTAAATGTCTCTAAAGCGTATTTGTTGGCAGCTCTCTGGGAGTGCGCTGTGTCAAACTAGTTAGGAGTGCTTGTTCAAGCGCTTCTTCGAGTATATAATCTTGGCAAGACCTCACTAAACTGATTGACTGATTAATTCATTTTTTGCACATATCTAACGGGGCTACTCTAGACACGTGCCTTGTTTCATTTATGAATACAACACCTATTTTCTAAACCGCGAGATAACGAAAGAAGTTCAAGGCATTCATGCGTAAAACTCCGTGCGTAAAAACCCTCTGGATTCATGCATAAAGCCTTGGCACGGCGTAAATCCTCATGTGATAATGCTTATGTTGCTTGCAGCTACACTTACTCTCCTTTGGGTGCACATGCTTCAATCTGGTGGCTTTACAGTGTCATATATAAAAAGGATAATCACACCTGTTTTAACTTACTGTGGCCTCCCGCTGACCAAAGGTTCTAAGTTCAAACTGTGTTTCAAGGGGCGCCTAAAAGTTCTTTCGTGTACATTTTCACACTTAGAGTCGGTCGCCGTGTTTTCTGTAAACAGTCAAGTGGGAAATGGATCACGAACAAACCCAAATAAATCCAACAAACAAAAAGAAACCCCCAACAGGCCACGCTGCACAAGCGTATGGTACCACATGTAATCACAATTTATCAGCTCTTCCACCTCCCACCGTTGTTCGTTTTGATGCTGACCTGCAAAAGCAAATCCTTATAGGCATGCGGGTCTTTTTACTAAGAGTAAAAGCTTGGATTAAGACAGGTGCTTCTTTAGTTCAAAGATTCTCGAAATAATGGTTAAATTAAACTATGTTTCTGCTAGAGACCTGGAAACCCCCACGGAGAATCCGTTTAGGTCTCTAACCCCTCGCCTTGGTAATCACATCCTCACACTACTGTAATTTCACGATTCCTGCGTATGAGAACCTATAGGTGTATAGCAGAGGAGATGTGGGGAGGGCTGAGCGACGCACGCACTGTGAATATTTTATTGGAGCTCGCCCTCATGCGTGGTGCTAGGCACGGGTTCAGGGACACCGGCGCGCCTTGCTTCATCACCACCAGCAGCACCACCATCACCACCTTCATTTTATTATTACTGAGCCAATATCACCCAAGAGCTTTTTAATAATTCACCAGCATCTAAGTGCTAAAAGTCATGCTGAAGAGACGCGACATCCTGCAGCCTGGAGAGAAATCAAGGCATGTCTCCGATGTATGTGAGCCTCTTCTTAGCTGCACTGAACCGGGTATAAGGTTTTAAACTGACTGGCTGCAAGAGGATGAGATATTTAAAACAGACGCCATCCTTCGTGCAGGTGTATTGTAAAACACACCAGCACTCCTGTGCGCCTTGCTCGTGTAATTGGCCGAGTCCCACCCATTTACCAAGGCCTGGACACTCTCAAAGAAATGTCAGTTTTCATGCACAGATGCACGCCACGCGAAAGGCTAAATTACAGAAGGCTGTGCAAGGAAACGTCTGAATGAGCTACGCCATGCCTCAGTAAGCCCCGCTGTTAAAGCGATGCGCATCCCCAGGGCTGGGGTAAAGAAAAGGCGCTTAAACAAGCTGCAACGTAAAGCCGAAATAGGCAGCAAACACAGAAAGTCTGCATGAAATCTAACATGGACGTGCCCCTGTAAGGCAACAAAACGAGCCTCCCATAGATACAAATATAGATATGAGGAGAGGGGCACATTAATATTTTAAATACACTGTCACAATCATGAAAGCCGAGTGTCCTGACTGTCCGCCTGCACATCACTTATCCAGCTGGATTTCTATATTCGCTTCAAGCCTGCAGCCTTTGGAAACTCCCATGCTGGTGTATAAAGCGCATCTGCCTTTGCAGTGAAGTTAAAAGGCTCAGTGTGAAGAGTTCAGCAGCGGGTAAAACAGACTTCACTTAAGGTGCGCAATCAGTCTGACAAGGGAGTTGTTGCAGTACGCAGTGATGGTGCGTTAGGAAATGGACAGTGGGGGCAAAAAAATAAAAATCACAATAAAATTAAAATAAAAGGTTATTCCGTCTCCTTACCTGAGTCATTAGCCTGTCAGCACCGGTGTTCTCCTCATCCTTGAATATGATGTCTGTGTTATAATTGGGAGTCAGTTCTTTAAATCGCTCGGAGTTTCTTGTGATCTTGCCTTCGTATTTACCGCTTGCCCCGAGGGTCTTCTCCGCGACGTTGGGGATGAACTGCTTGTACGCAAGAGGTGTCAGCTTCTTCGGATGTCTTCTCCTGCCGTAGCCCCTGCCCGGTCCGCATCCCATCCCAGAGGATACCAAGGACAAGCAGATGAGACCGACCAACGCGATTTTGGTCCAGAGCAGCATTTTTTTATTTATTTTTTGTCCTTTAAGATCTCAAACGGGTCACCGCTGCTATCTCTACAGTCTGCCTCTCCCGGCTCTCGCAGTGTCCTTGTCTCCTCTTCTACTTCGCCTTAGCTTGGTCTCTGTGTGGCAGGTGCGGAAATGAACGCCTCGGATAAATGGTAATAACGGGGCAAATCGAAGGAGGGTTTAAAAAAAAGTAGTGAGGGAATTAAAAGCCACGGGATCTCTAGTCGAGCTGCTGCCGCTTGTGTGTGTGCCTACCGCTTTTACTGCTTTGTATTATAGCACCGATCTATAGGGGAGGGACTTCATTGGCGTCGACTACCCCTCCTGATGTTATCCCACAAAAATCTTAAAAGATTTCTTCCACCTGAGGGTTAGCCTCTGTTTCGAGGAGGAGGGGCTGCTCCATGGGAAAACATCAATTATAAACTGTCTTTTTTTTCCACCCTCCCGTTTTCCAGTGTTTCACAGTAAGTGAAGCACAGACAGGGGAACTTGAACAGTGGTTCTCAAATCTGAAGCAGTGTAGTTTGGTGAATTGATTTGTGTGGGACAACTTTGAGCGCAGAATGCGTTTCCCAGGAGAATAAAACTGCTCATGGACGTGCAGTGCGCAAAGGCTGCATGAGTTGGCTGTGACACCCCATATCCACCAGAATAAACGCACGAATAGTATGGAATAGTTTGCTTACAGTGCAGTGAGATAAGAGATTTCATTAGATTAGATTAGATTGAAATTTGCCTCTAACTTCGCGTCCCTTTCAACAACAACAGCGTGCCAACGCGAATGTACGCACGAAATTTGCTCTAAGGTCACTTCTTAACTTATTGATGGTTCAAAGGCACAATAAATCTGACAAAACATGGTGCTGTAATGTACTTTTTGGACTAATATTATGGAGATTTCATCAGATCTAAAAAGCAAAAGTTGGAGTAACATCAGTGCCCTCTGCGCGCTCTTGTTTCCTACTTTGGTTTATGCGTAAAAATGCATTTTATTCTCCAAAATATCATTCCATGTGACTATTTTTCAACACATTCATCTTATTTTCACGCAGGTTTCTGGAACTCAGATTCAGAAAATGAAGCAGAGTCCTTAAAAATGAGGATGGGAACGGGACAGACTTACAGCACAATAGTAGACGAGGCTTTAGAAAGCGTTAAAAAAAGTTTTAAAAAGCCACTTTTTATGGGGAAGAACCTATTTAGTGCGTAAAATATACTGATAGTGGGTAGCAACAATATTCTCTCCTACACAGTCAAAACCTACTTTACTCACAGATTCATAGTTTTGAAAAACTAACTTTCCGAAAGGAAAGAAATTATGACTTTTCTCGAGTATTAAAATAGATTTTATTTCAATCACCAACTCAACATTCTCATAGTCTCATTCCTATAATTAAAGGCCAATGAAGAAATATTTTACTGTTGTTGATTAAGGCTGTATTGTACCATGAGACACCACTGTATTCAAATTCAAGGTCCAGACAAAACAGACATCTAAAATAATTCAAGAAGGAAAATTATTTGTGTGATAACAACGAGTAATTAGAGGAAGACGGCTGTTCTGAGGCAACTTTGGCTCTCATCACACAGACACTGTGGCACAGGTGCTCTGAAGTGAGGACAGATATGCCAGTCTTTGGTGTGGCTTCTCTCTCATTAGACCTCGCTCTGGCTGACCTCCAGCCTGGTGTTGTTTAGTCAGTGCCAGGCTTGTGGCAAAGCAGCTTGGGCAGGTGAGACCAACTGCTGGTCACTGAGACCACGATCATCAGCTCTTAGCCAAAAGATGGTTGGCACACTGCTGTATAACCCAGAGTAAGATACTCCACTACCAGCTTTCAGTCTGCAAATCACTACCACCACTCAGTTTTTGCTGCATAGATTGAGATTCTTAAGATGTCTTCCTTAGTCACATTTCAGCGCCGACGTCTGCAGATGTATTCAAACACAAAGCTGACAGCACTTGTAGTGCCCTGAGGGACACCAGAGGCACTGTTTAGCCCCAGGTCAGGTGTCACAGCTCTGGGATAAAACCTGGCATGCCACACAAATGCCTCAAACCCACAGGGAGGTGAAGCAGAGGTAGAAAGAGTCCTCAGAGGTCTCAGTCCTCCTGAAAAAGAGTAATAATACTTATATTAATGCTCACACTAACACAATTATTAAAGCAACAACCTATAAACTAACAAAAGAAAAAAAAGATGTTGAATGAAAATGAATTGTGCTTTCTAAAAACCAAGGTTTGCTGTTGGGATTGAACTTGAGTTTCTACCGCAGAGGAAACCAAGCATCTCTCAGTCAGACCTGGGGCAAATAGTATTTGCAAACATTACACTTCATTGTTTGGTTTTGGCCTAATTCGGTGCCAGATGGGTGGAGTTTGCAACTAAAGGCAAAGTAAATCACTGCACACAGTTTAGACAATTAAAGTATCTGCATCTATTTGGCGTGTGAACTTTTATTTGAGCATTTGCCTTGATCAGACGTCTTAAAACAAACACCTTCTAAGATCCCAGATTTGTGCCATTATGTCACATTATGTTACTCTTTTATTTACAGTGGATTTGCATATGAGGGTGATGCAGAAAAGCAAAGGCCAGCTCTCTGAAATAATTCTGGAGGGATTGAGGGCATTACACAATTATTAAGAAGCCTGTTGCATGTGATGGCTAATCCAGTATGAGGCGTGAAAAACGGCCGATGAGTCATCAGTTTCTGGTTCGTTGTGTGTCCCATCTAACACTTTACCGTCCAAAATGTGCAAACGCACTTATGGAACCCTCTACCTGATCCATCGCATCGTCCTCATCTGCTGCGTTGCGCTGCCTTTCTTTAGAAGGCTCCCTCTTGTGTCTGACATTCAAAGGAATCAAAAAGACGTGCTTAGAATCAGACTAAATCCACACCCACATTTGATTTCATCTGCCACCGTCTCGATCAAGCACAAGCGAGATGCAACTAGAAGTGGTTGAGTGGAGTTTAACTAGTGTAAGTCCCCCCAATTACTGCTTTAAAGCCTCCTCCTGTCTGAATGTTTTGTAACATTGTTAGACGGATTAGGACTAGAGAATAATCACGCACAAACATATAAGCAGTGTCAGGCTTTCTGTCTTGTTTTCCGTTGCTGCAAATAGGGTTTCCTTTCTCCCAGGCCAACAGAAAGACAGCCCCACCGCAACTCTTTGTGGTTTCTCCTCGCAGGTGGAGTCCGCATTCAACCCTTTATCCTGTTTTGAACTTTTGGCAAACAGTTTATAGCACGGACACGTTGCCATCTATCCTATGAGCATGTGTACTCTTTTGTTAGAGCCACAAAGTTTGAATAATCTTCCTCTAAATGGTTTATCTAAGCCGCACGCATCAAGCATTAAGCAGAGGTAAAGAGTCAGAATTCGGCTGAACAGAATCAGGTGACCTGGAGCTAATCTGTCAAGTACAATGGAAATTTCACAATACAGTATCTAGAATCACAACCCTCAGCGTGCCCCGGAGTCTGTAAAGGCATTTTATTTGCACTCTCCTGCCGCTCCCAATACTTAAACATTAAACGCCAAGGCTAGACAGGCAGAACCTCTTTGAACTGCAGGGCAGGGTGAACTCAGTGGGAGGGGAAGGAGTTGAGTGAGTGGAGAACGGGGGGCTGGTGTTTGTGTGTTATTCCACCAGGTGAGTCAGCGCTGGCCACCGTGCGCTGCAACACCATCTCGGTCTTAAGCAACGGTGATAACAGAGGGAACGGCTCAGAGGGACTGACATGTGTCTGTTTACTTTAATGCATAACCGTACTGAGAGTTTCTGATGAGGCGTTGTGAAGAATTTACATCGAAACAAGCTGCTGTGTTTGTGGAAGCTTAGCCGTGTCTTTAACGTCCTAAATAAAAGTGATACACGGCCGATATTACTTCACTTCTTCTCCAAACCGGTTTCAATGTCATGACGGCACAGGTGGCCGATTTCTTCCATTCTACAGAAAATATCTGAGTTTACACTTTAAGGGGTACAAATGTTATAAAAAGAATAAAAGAGGGGAAACCAAGCAGACTCATGGAAAGCTAGTTTCAGCTGCAGCAACCTCCGAAGGAGATTTGTGTCTCCGATTGGAATCGAACCGGCTAATGCAAATGTGCTAACCACTGCAGTTTATTTTCTTCACCTCTGAATATATTTACTAAAATATAATGACGACATTCATCTCTAGACTAATGTAAATGTTTTTTGTGTGATAAAACATCTAAACAGCTAATACATGAACAAAAGCCTCACAATGTTTATGATCTGAACATCTCTATTTTCCTGAAATCAGTTCTTCCTCACTTAAATGAGTTCATATACAAACATTCAAGTGGCTCAGTGTGTTTCCAGAAACTGACCTGCGTTCACTTCACCAGTGAGTCCAATGAACCTGTGTCCTACATTAATATTGTAAGGTCGCTACCTCTTATATAAAGTGCCTCGAGACAAATGTTATTGACCAATAACTGGGGCTATATAAATAAAATTCAATAGATCTAAAGAAAAATATTTGCTTTCAAAGAGTACTTATGTGTCTGTGTTACATCTGTATTATGTCCAGTTTCACTCAGGCTGTATGCCAAGGCACTGACACCAAAGGACACCTTGTGCACAACTGAGACACCAGCAGCATTTAATGGGATGTGGCAAACGCATAGATGAAAGAGCATCTACTTGCTTTTCAAAAGACGATGAGGAGCAAACAATGTGCAAAACTCCAGTTTTGTTCTGAAAAAGACTTTTAAAATTTCAAACATTATCTAAGTGAATAAGAGTCTATGGGGTTTTTGTATCTATGTTTTATAAAAAACCTCAGCGAAGCTCAGGGATGACAGCGTTTCTCCTCAGGGGAGAAAGGTTTGGGCTATTTTGTGACAAATAGATGTGAGGCTGGTCACTTCCTGTGCAAAAACCTCTGCCTGCGGACACAGACCCTAAATCACAGCAAATTAGACAATAAAAAGACGAGAATACTGCATGATACAAGAAGTTGGATGAAGTGAGAGGCTGTATGCGCGGGTGTGTTCTTGATACCTCTCTCTATGTACCAGTGTGAGAAAATCCTGACTGCAGCCTCCAGTCTGCATGTTCAGTCAGATTATATTTGGGCTTTTGTGAAAATAAGCCAAACCTTTTTCCCTGGAATTTCAGAGTTGATCACCTCATACAGGAACTTCAGCAGTCTGGATGAATGTGTCACTGCTTTGTTC